CTTCTACAGCCGGGGGAGCGCGCCTTGGGCTCCCCTGGCTTCAGGCGGGCAGAGGGGGCTTCGGGAGACGGCCCGAGTTATATTGTCTCTTACGGGTTCGGTTTCCCCCACGCGCCCCGCTTGCAGGAGAGGGCTTGGGCTGTGTGTGGCGATGGCGGTGGGAGGCTTAGGGCGGAAGCAGCGCTGTTAATTATTGGGTCTACGGCAGCTGCCCCGGGCCCCTCGACACACCCTGTCTCTGCACCCCTAGGACTAACTTTCTTTGAGACGGCCCGAGTTATATTGTCTCTTACGGGTTCGGTTTCCCCCACGCGCCCCGCTTGCAGGAGAGGGCTTGGGCTGTGTGTGGCGATGGCGGTGGGAGGCTTAGGGCGGAAGCAGCGCTGTTAATTATTGGGTCTACGGCAGCTGCCCCGGGCCCCTCGACACACCCTGTCTCTGCACCCCTAGGACTAACTTTCTTTGTTTTCTCTCCCCTCCCCCGCTTCTCCCGGCCCCCTAAACTGGGGCTGTTCATCCAGGGCGTTCAGCTCTTTCCCCCCTCTCTGTGGGGGAGAGGGGGGCGTGTGACATGGGCAGTTTGAGTTTTTCACTGGCGCTGTAAGACGAGGACTTTCCTGGGATGCGGGGTGGGCGAAGCAGAGAGCTTCACTCTTGCACCGCGCTTGCCTGTCTGAGGTGGGAGGGGGGATTGTTTTCACTCCATGGACCGGAGGCTTGTGGTAGCCACATCCCTGTTATTGCCTACGAGCCCGTCATTCCCTGCTGCATCTGTCATTAAATGCCGATGGGCGTGACTGATTCCGGGGCCTACAGCAGCTGTCTCTGTATAAAACTTCTGGAAGGAATGGGGTGTCTCTCCATTATCAGACAAACGAGGAACAAAGCTTCATTAGTAGCAGCTGACCTCCTAAATCATTTCCCTTGGGAAACAGACACTGTCATCTAGGACAGGGGTGGCCAACCTAAACCTGAGAACAATCTGGAATTTACCAATGCACGTTGCCAGAGAGCCACAGTTCTATGTCACCAGCCCATATCATCTCCCCACCACCACTCAGCACATCCCATCCACTGGCAGCCCCACTGGTCAGTGCCTCCTCCTTTTCCTCCTGTCCACTGGGGTCAGCTCTTTCTCAGTGGGAGACACTGGAGGGGGGAAGCATGGGTGCGACAGGCTCAGTGGAAAGGGTGAGAAGTTGCAGGATCCAAGGAGGAAAAGGTGGAGGGGGATAGCGTCTAGGGCAGAGCTGGGGATTAAACAATGAGCACTCTTCCGCCCAGTGAGGAGTTGGCACCTGTAGCTCCAGACCTGGATTTGGTACCTATGTAAGGAGCCACATATTAACTTCTGAAGAGCTGCATGTGGCTCTGGAGCCACAGGTTGGCCACCAGGATCTAGGATTCACTTTTACATCTGGCTTTTAACACAGCCTTTGATGCTGGAAGATTCTTCATGTGTCACACTCGTGAGTTATTTTTGTGTATGAAAATCTCATTTATTCAAACTGTCAAAGCTAGATAGTCCTCCTGACAATCTTTCAGTGTATGTCTGGGGTAGAACACTGGTTATATCCTGAATGAAACAATAAATAATTCATGCAATACATTTCTTTTTCATTGGCTTTCTTGGTGCTTTCCAGCAGAACTTCCACATTTGGATATTGTGATGGATTTGAAGTGACTCAGTAATATGCAAAGATGCTGTATGTGGACCTTGTTATTAGGTTTTTTATTGTGTATTGGGTTTACTCAGTAAAGAGCTGCCTGAGGAACTAGGTAGATAGAATAGTGAATGAAAGAAGGCACTTCTGGCATTCATTGTCCCTTAATAGAGTCATTTCCCATTTTGTATGTATGTAACTGATTGTTCCTTCCTAAATACTTTGCATTTGTCCTTGTTGAATTTCATCCTATTTACCTCCGATCATTTCTCCAGTTTGTCCAGATCATTTTGAATTATTATCATCCTATTTCCCTCCCTCCCCCTCTCCAGGCTGCTGGTTCTCCCCCACTTCCCCTCCTGA